GTGCGTATGCTGCTTCTATAAGCAGCAGTGTTGCTGTTATTTTTATTTATAATAAAAACTTTTGCTGCTGTTGCTGCTGCTGCTGCTGCTGTTGCTGCTTCAACAGGGCCTTGGGCTCAGGGGACCGAGCCTAGCAGCAGCAGCAGCAGCAGCAGCAGCAGCCACTGCAGCAGCAGCAGAAGCAGCAGCAGCAGCAGCTGCTGCTGCTGCAGCCCCATTGGTGTTTTCCTTTTATTATCTCTGAAAACCATCGCAGAAATTTTGTTGTCTTTAGTAGAAACTTTGCTGCCTGTAGCAGCAGCAGCAGCAGCAGCAGCAGCGGCAGCAGCAGCAGCAGCAGCAACAGCAGCACGTTTGCTGCTGCAGCACATGAAGGTCTTTTCCCGCAGCAGCAGCAGCAAGCCAGCAACTTCATTCTAAGAGATAACAGCAAAATAACAGCAGCAGCAAGAACAGGAGCAGCAACAACAGCAGCAGCAGCAGCAACAACAGCAGCAGCAGCAGCAACAGCAGCAGCAGCAGCAGCAACAGCAACAGCAGCGGCAGCAGCAGCAGCAGCAAGAAAGAACCCATGGCGAACCTCGCCATCCTAGGTAAAGCCTGGGTGGTGCTGCTGCCGCTGCTGCTGAATGGAGTTCCTTTAATGGGCAGCAGTTTGCTGCTGCACTGCAGCAAGTGCAGCAGCAGCAGCAGCAGCAGCAGCAGCAACTGCAGCAGCAGCAGCAGCAGCAGCAACAGCAGCAGCAGCAGCAGCAGCACGAACAAGAGACTGTATTCCCTGCTCTGTCTCTCAAAGCAGAGAGGCCGGGATCGCCGCCGCTACTAACAACGATCCCGTTGTCTCTGCTGCATGAGCAGCAGCAGCAGCAGCAGCAGCAACAGCAGCAGCAGCAGCAGCAGCAGCAGCAGCAGGCAGGCTTTGAGCAGTGTACAGACACCTCACACCCCTTCACCCTAGAGCTATACTTAGGCAGTTCTTCTCTGCACCCGGTGGGTTTTTCTTTGTTAGATGCAGCAGCAGCAGTGCAGCAGCAGCAGCAGCAGCAGCAGCAGCAGCAACAGCAGCAGCAGCAGCAGCAGCAGCTGCGGCGCCGTGTCTTCTGCTCCCGCTCGAAGCCCGCTTTGCTGCTGGTCTCAACACCCCAGGAGCCTCACGTGTCTGTGCTGCTGCCTGCTGCAGCAACTCCGCAGCCTGCAGCAGCTCAGCAGCAGCAGCAGCAGCAGCAGCAGCAGCAGCAGCCTTCGTTGCTGCAGACATACTGGTGGGTACTGCCAGCTATCCTGCTGCTGCAGGTACTAACAAAGGGCCTAGCAGCAGAAGAAGAAAACCCCCCCGTCTCTCCTGCTGCAGCAGCAGCAAGAAGCGGCAGCAGCAGACAGCCAAACGTACACAGACGCAGACAGTAGGGGGGCCCCCCTGGGGCCCCCTTGGGGTCCCCCTGGGGCCCCCTTGGGGCCCCCCTGGGGCCCCCCTCTCTCCTCTACTCTTAGTACCCAGGGGCCCCCTACATCACAAATTCATAAACCAATACAATGCGCCTAGGAGGGGGCCCCTATACTATGGGGGCCCCTAGGTACCCACGGGGGCCCCCATGGGGGCCCCCGTGTGGGCCCCAAGAGGGTCCTAGGGGGCCCCCATAGTTTTCTCTGGGGGCCCACATAGAGGTCTTAGGGGCCCCCAAGGGGGCTTTGGGGGGCCCCGGGCCCACAGAGGGTCCTACGGGGCCCTCAGAGGGTACTAGGGGGCCCCCATAGGGTCTTGG